AAACATTACCCAGCCCAAGTTCTTAGACAGCCACAGAGCCTAGCTAAGGTCGGGTTTGGTACTAGTTTTTGGGTTTTTGTCGGCAGAGAGTCCATTTTTCATTAATTGAGCGAATATTTCACAGAACAACTTTAGAGATTAACGAGAGTGTGATAATTTTTTGCCGAGATATGGACCATTTAAAATCCTATTAAAAATTTCCTAAATGATATTTTTTAAATAATTTAAAATCAATTAGATATTGATTTTTGACCGTTGGGTCGGACTGAGGGCTGTTAGGATCCAATGGCTATTTTATTGCCACGGGCAGTTTGTAGCCTGCAACAGAGATTGGGCCAGCCCACGGACCAATGAGCCGTCAGACTCTTCGAAATTTAAAAATGCACATGCATTATCATGTTTACCACTTCATCCGTATTTTAAATATTTAACAGTTTCAGCGGGATTATTGAATGTAAAAAAATTTAAGTTTTAAATATTTCTATATTTTTTATAATTATTAAGTTTCTTTAAAGCATATTTCTATATCCTTAATTTTTAAAGGAAATTGAAAGAAAAAAACAATTAAAGAAACAAATTAAGTGGGTTCATTTTAACAATGGTTTTGAGTGAGTCCTAGTTTTTTCGGTTGTTTCTTCAATGAACAATTTTTATTTTCAATATGGTAGTGGACTGCATTTAAAAGATAAAGTGCCTTATATATTTTTAAAGGAAAAATTATATTTTTTAATCATAATTTTTTCTTGAATTTCTATTTCATCATTCAAAAATCAATTATAACAATTAATCCTTAGACTTTGCCAGTAACCATATTTGAGTGAGTGTACGAGAGACTAAACGAAATTAACTAGATTTTCATTAAAAAATGAAGAGAATACGTATGAGACAATGTACATTGATGGTCATAAATCAAAACTATGGTACCGTTAGGTAAGGTGTAGGATACTTGTATATAGAACCTAAACATATCTACTACCTTTGTTCCTGAATCTCTCAATTTTAATAGTCACGCGAGAAATTTTGTTTTGATTTATTTTTCTTGTCAACTGTATTGAAGTCTTTTTTCTCTGTTCATCTTGCTCAGCCCACCACTCTCTCGCTCTCTCTCTCCCATAAACACCACCAATTTTCAAGGCCCCATCACGGACAAAACTACCGCTAAAAGCCATTACGTACCGTCAACGCTAGCCTTTTAATTTGTCATTTTTCAACGTGTAAACTTAAACCCCATTACTCCTACAATAAAACAACTTTGGTTCAAACTAATGAAAAATGTAATCCAACTGCTTTCTCATTAATCTAATTATTTAAAAGCCTAAAAAGTTATGGGTTTAAATTCAATTACAAATTTTTAACTTTCCAAAACTATCCTCTTCTTCAATCCAAATGTTTTAACCTTCCTCTCAATTTTTTTTTTTTAAAATTTGGTCTCATATAGGGTAACGTTGGCAATTTACAATCTATCTATATATAAAATAAACAATTTATAAAGAGAGATTTTGAGAAATATTTTTTTATTTATATTTTAATTTTATAGAATTTTAAATTATTTAATCAGATTTCACAAGTTTCATCAAATCTATTTTAACATGTATCCCTTATAATCATCCATCTCTTTTCTCATGGAGTACCCACCAACTATTTAAACTTATTTAAAAAATTATTTTTACTATTCAATAACTTTAAATAAATATTTAGTTCTTTTTTTTAAGGAAGAAAATGAGAAAGGGAGATGGATTAAGAAGAAAAAAAAAAGAAGATATGGACTAGAGTATCTCTAACTTTGATTAAAAAGTTTGATTTGATGCAAAACACTCAAAATAGAGAAACTCAAATTTAAAAAAGAATAAAATCTAATTATTTGTGATTTGAGTAAAGATTTGAGTTTTTTTTGATGATATAGATTTGACTATAGCATTTGTGAAGATTTTTTTTTACCAAAATTTAAGTTTAAATCTAAAAAATGGTAAGAATTATAGATGCTTTAAGTCAAAACCACAAATAACAAATTCTTTCAACTTCAACGGAAAATATATAATGTAACAACAATATTAACATTATTATTAATTAATAATTATATATCATAAAAGTGTTGCAAATCACATAGTTTTTGTAATTTTCAATAACCATCATATTGAATAACTTACGTCTTGATATTGTGAGATTCACTTCTCCTATGTTATATGTTATTATTAATTTGTGATATCACATATTATCTATAAAAGTTATCTATAGTATCGAAAAAAATATATCAACATTTTCTACTATTGTGGATATTTTTTATCATTGTTATAAATATTTTTATCATTATTATTGTATCAAAAAAAAGTGATAAAAATAGTTATTACAATTGTGGTAAAAACACCAAAAAGTGGTAAATTACACACAAAAATAATAATTGTTTTGTATTGAAGAAAAATAATAAAAATAGCTTTCACAATAGGGTTAAAAATACTCATAAAAATAATATATATATTTTTGGTTAAAAAAATGCTTACAAAAATTATAAAAATATTTATAAAAATAATAAATTTTAAAAGCTACTGTACCAAATTATTTTATTCGGTGGTATCGTAGTCAAGTTCTTATCCATAGAGTTGTACCATATTACTAGTAACATGGAATATTTCCTCCAACATCGGAGGGGACAAGAAAACGGTATTGACAAATTTATTACTCTTATGGCATATCACGTCTCACGTGTCTAATCCAAGAAAATGCGATTGAGATCCCCATGCCCATGGTCCCTATCTCTTTAAGAATACTCCATTGTATCATGTGTGGTATTTGGGCCTTTTTTAACCTTTTCTATGGAGGGCCCACTAACTATTATTTAATCAAATATTTTGCTATAAAATCAAGGGCAATACTGTGAGTTCTAATATTAATGAAATACACTTTCAATTTAATAGTTATCTTAAATTAGGTTCTCATATTATGACTTAAATTAATTTTAAGTAGTATTTTCCTATAATCAAAATTATAAAAATGGTAATTACTCAAAACTTCCTTATATTTAGGGTCACTTGCATATTATCTCCTTAAATAATTACGTGTTATAATGTAAGAGTATTTTCAATAGACTTCCTGTTGTTACTCATAAAAAATAAAGTTTTGATAGACTCTATATGTAGGCTCAAATGTGACTTTATGTTCGTTCCAATTCAAGTCTATTTTCAATTCCCAATTTATTGATTTGCTTTTCTATTCAGCTATCTTCAACCACGACTCATTCATGTATAGTATGGACGTTTCTCAGAGCGACATAATAACAGATGAGTGGGGCACAAGTAAATAAGGCTACAAGTCTGCTACTAACCTTCATTAAAAAAAAAGCCCCCTCTTCTCTCTCTCTCCCTATTTCTCTCTCAGAGCTCTGTGAAGTATCTCTCTCACACATACACACACGAAGGAGCAATGAAGAGTGTTGCTCTCGCCTCTTAGATAAACAAAGTTATGAGAGAGAGAAAAAATAAGGGGGAGAGATAAAAAAATAAACAAAATCTTTATATATTTGAAGAGAAAATAAATTATTAATTATAGATATAGAGAAAAAATAGGGGAGAGATGGAAAAAATAATAGAGAAAGAGAGAGAGATGAAGAGAAAATAGGCTTGATATAATGAGAGAATCTAATGAAATCTTTACATATTTGATTAGATATATATTTGCTAATAAAAAATGAATAAGTTAAGGGAAGATATTTAGATAAAACAGTTTTGATTTCATTTGAATTTTTTATCTAAACACAAAATATTTTATTAAAATTGAATTTAATAGAGTAACAACTTATCTATACACTTTTTCTCAAATAAATTTAAAAAATTATACGTATAACTAAAAAACCCTTTAGAATATTCCAAGATATCATGTGTGGTTTTGGGCCTTTTTAACCTTTTTTATGGAGGGCCCACTAACTATTATTTAATCACACATTTTGCTATAAAATCAAGAGCAATACTTTAAGTTGTAATATTAATAAAATATACTTTTCATCTAATATGAAAGTTCGATTAGGATCGTCAAAACAAACAAATAATGCTAAGAATACTAAGAGAGAATGTATGAGATAACATTATTTATTTTGACGATCTTAATTAGATTTTTATTCTATCTCATTTATTATATATATATATATATATATATATATATATATAGAGAGAGAGAGAGAGAGAGAGAGAGAGAGAGAGAGAGAGAGAGAGAGATGGGAGGGTGTTTGTTTAATATATATGTGAGGATGTTCGTGCATCAGACTTGGTGGTAATTTGGCCACTTGATAAGCACGGTAACGAGGCTGAGGTCAATTGTTTGAGTATGTACTGGGTGTGTACATTGTTTGGGGCCGGTGTCCTCAAACTCATTCTTTTGTGTGGCGAGTTAATTTTATACAAAGTTTAACATTGATTCAATAAATTCAATGAAACAATTGAGATATAAAACAAAAAAAAATGCGTACACCAAGCAAATCAAAAAAATATTATTTTAATTTAATTTAAGAATTTAATATGAAAATCTTATTCAATACAAATATTGAATTGAAAATAAATTTTATCTAATATTAAAATTTACCAGTAGGCCTTCTCATTTTTACACAAGTTTTTAGAATTTACTACTTTTTTGTCTGTCCTTGCATTCTGGAAATACTCGGTAAGACTAATCAATTCTTGAAGTATAATACTAGCCTCATAATTAGTCCACCTTATTTAATGCCCAAAAAAACAACTCTCTCTCTCGCCACATAAGACTTTGAATCCTCTGCACATTCAATTCAATTCTCGGCCAATAATTCTCGAAATTCAACCAATCCCCGTATCTGGGTCTGTCTCATTTCCCACTAAAACCCCTTTAGGCTCTCCTTGGGTGATTTGTCTTACCCAATTACGTCTTGGTGAGTCGACGAATTCTGGACCAAACCATCAAAATTAACCCAATTATCTGATTTGGGTCTGTTTCGATTCCCTCAAAACCTTCAATTCTGCAATTTTTATTGGGAGACCCATATGGGTCCAATGGACGATGCAAAGAAGGAGGTGGTGAGTCAACTCGGTGAGCTGATAAAAGACATTTCTGGGTTACCCGAGTGCCGAAATGTCTCGAAGGAACTGTACAGTGATTTGGTTCGGAGAGTGAAGCTCCTGAGCCCTCTGTTTGAGGAATTGAAAGACAGCGATGAAGAGCTCAGTGACGACGTCGTTTTAGGGCTTGAAGCTTAGAAGATTGCTTTCATTAGGGCCATAGAGCTTCTTCGATCGGTCAACGAAGGCAGCAAAATTTTTCAGGTATTGAGTGTTTTGTTTTTTTTTTCGTATTTTTTAGCTAACTGCTATGACTTTTGCACCCTGAAAGATCGTTCGAATTTTAATTTGTACACCTAAAGATCAAAAATTTTAATTTACACCCTCAAAGATAGAAATTTATATCAATGTACACCCCAAAGATCAAAAATCTCAATTTACACCCTCAAAAATATAAATCTGTATCAATGTGCACCTAAAATTAAATTGATAAATTATACCTAGATCCCTTCGTGTTTGTCACTTAATCATTTGAACCCCTTCACATTAAGAATATTACCTCTACATCTCATAACGTTTATACATGTGTAAACATAACCACTTTTTGTTGATATCTATTAATATAATCGTTAAAAAATATGATTTTATCCTAATAAAAAATTATAATTTCATATTACTCTTTATTTTGTAGATTCGATATACTCTAAAGTTCAAAATCAAGCTTACCATTTAAATGTCTAATATAATGTAGATATTTATATAAAGGAAAATATGAAAACATTATATAAATATTTATATTTTATTAGACATTCAAATGGTAAGCTTGATTTTGAATTTTAGAGTATATTGGACCCATAAAATAAGGGTAATATGAAATTATAATTTTTTATTAGGATAAAATTATATTTTTTAACGGTTATATTAACAGATATCAATGAAAATGAGTTACATGTTGTACGTGCATAAATGTTATGAGATGTAGGAGTAATATTCTAATTGTAAAGAGGTCCAAATGATTAAGTGACAAATATGAGGAGATTTAGGTATAATTTATCAATTTAGTTTTAAGTGCATAATGATATAAATTTATATATTTGAGAGTGCAAATTGAGATTTTTTATCTTTGGGGTGCACATTGATATAAATTTCTATCTTTGAGGGTGCAAATTGAGATTTTTGATTTTTGGGGTGCACATTGATACAAATTTCTATCTTTGAGGGTGCAAATTGAGATTTTTGATATTTGGAGGTGTACATTGATACAAATTTTTATCTTTTAGGGTACAAATTAAAATTTTTATAATTTAAAAATACAAATTGAGATTCGAACGATTTTTCAGACTGTAAAATGAGATTAACCCTTTTTATCGGGAGACCCATATGGGTCCAATGGACGATGCAAAGAAGGAGGTGGTGAGTCAACTCGGTGAGCTGATAAAAGACATTTCTGGGTTACCCGAGTGCCGAAATGTCTCGAAGGAACTGTACAGTGATTTGGTTCGGAGAGTGAAGCTCCTGAGCCCTCTGTTTGAGGAATTGAAAGACAGCGATGAAGAGCTCAGTGACGACGTCATTTTAGGGCTTGAAGCTTTGAAGATTGCTTTCATTAGGGCCATAGAGCTTCTTCGATCGGTCAACGAAGGGAGCAAAATTTTTCAGGTATTGAGTGTTTTGTTTTATTTTCGTATTTTTTAGCTAACTGCTATGACTTTTGACTATAATTGTGTTTGGCCTTTGATATGTGTTCTTTTTCTTTTCTTTTTTTTGATGAGAAAGTGGAGAAAAGAAAATTAAAATTTTGATTCATGTGTTTGATGTTATTTCGTTTGAAGGGTAAAACGAAACAATAAAGAGAAAATTTGAGCCAAATTGAGCCTAATCAGGTTTGATATTCAAATTGGAACTCGAAACCTTTGAGAAGTCATTTAAAGATTTGAACTTGATTGGTGAAGTTGAACTTTCTGCCTTTGACCTGGGAGGGATTTGTCGAGGCACGCGTCCGGTCCGTTGAACCCAAAAAATAAAAAAAAAGAACTTTTTTGTTTTAAATTTTGTGAGGATTCTCTGTTATTATCTATTAGGGATGTAATTTTCAATCAAATGATCTTCAGAATTTGAGACAAATGACAAAGGATAGAATTGAATATTGATTTATATCTGTGGTGATATAATCTTAGGTATGCATAACAGTCTTCTCTGGGTAATTTTTGAGATTGAACTGCTTCTGTATTTAGTTTGTAGTTCTGTTGAACAAATGATTTTTAAATATATGAAAATAAATGCCTTGGAGGAAACTATTCGCATTTGAGGAAATTATCCTCATTTTGTTTCAAATGCACTTTGGTTTGTAACCAACTATCAAAATTTTGTTTCGGTGTATTGTTTCGGTCACTTAGGAAACGAAAATATTTCGGAAACGTTTCGACCCGTTTCGAAAACATAATGAAAAAAATAAAAAATTTAAGAATTATTTTTCTAAAACATTGATTTAAATATATCAAAATATCTTGAAACATTCCAAAATAATTATGAAAATGCATTAAAATATTATAATACATCTCCAAACATTATGACATACCTCGAAATATTAAAATTTTGATTCTATCACGGATTCGTTTCAATCTCCTTCGAAACGATATTTTGATCCTTGTTTGTAACTAAATCTTCTTTGTCGAACTTAGGGGCTTGAATTGTCAACATTGTTCCCCTGTTTCGGCTTTGGGGTAGATGTCTAAAATTTTTGGGGTTTAAAGATCAAGGAATCTGTATGTGTGTGTGTGTTCCATCGCATTTCTTATATCGCACATAATCTACTCAATTCTGTATCACTGAGCAGTAGCACTCATGAGTCATTTCTTGTTTAATTCTTGAGAAATACTTGGATCTGTTAAATGAAACTTTTTCGATGTTCAGCTCAATAAAATAAATGCTTAGTTTTAGGCATCGCTGAAAGAGTTCTAATTTCATTGCTTTAATTTATATATCTGTCTAACCTCTAACTATCCATAAGCTGGTAAGAACGTGACTTTTTACACTCATCATTTATCAATATTTTTGTTTTGAAAACAAACAACTTGTATGGTTTGGTTTCTGTCTTTATGGTAGCTTCGTTTTCCATGTCACAGGCTCTGCAAATGGACAAAATTGCAGTAAAGTTCCGTCAACTGACAGAACATATTGAAGAAGCTCTGACCCAGATTCCTTGTGATAAACTCAATATCTCAGAGGAAGTGCGAGAACAGGTACTTCAGGAGCTTTATTTTTTTTTTCAGAAACATACTTCAGACTAAAAACTTTATGGAAGTCTGTACTTTCTTTTTTATTGACCAAAGTTATGACCTGCTTATACTTCCTTCAGATTGAACTTGTGCATGTAAAATTTAAAAGAGCAATGGGCAGGATGCACTCACCTGATTTGCAACTGGAAATGGATTTAGCTATGGCACAAAAGGAAAAAGACACTGACCTTTCCATTCTGAAAAGGCTTTCGGAAAAGTTGCATCTCAGGACTATAAACAATTTAAAGAGGGAGTCAATTGCTATCCACGATATGGTTATATATAGTGATGGAGTTCAAGATCACTGCTTTGAGACCATGTCATTAATCCTTAGGAAGCTAAAGGACTGTGTAGTGATGGGAAACCCCAACTTTGATGCCTCCGAGGATGAAAAGGCCTTGATTAAGCACAGATCTCCGGTTATCCCTGATGATTTTCGGTGTCCAATATCCCTTGAATTGATGAAAGATCCTGTTATTGTTTCTACTGGACAGGTTTGAACCAGCAGTTACCTTAGCAGTTTACAGCTTTGCATATGCACTGTTAGCCAATATTTAGCTGCTATTTTACTTTTTGCAGACATATGAAAGGTCCTGCATTCAGAAATGGCTGGACGCAGGGCACAAGACTTGTCCCAAGACTCAGCAGACTCTTTTGCATACTGCCTTAACACCTAACTATGTCTTGAAGAGTCTTATTGCTTTGTGGTGTGAGAGTAATGGTGTTGAGCTGCCAAAGAAACAGAACAATTGTAGTAATAGAAGATCAGGGGCTGGTGGTTCAGACTGTGGTCGAGCTGCTATCGATGCCTTGTTACAAAAACTTGCAAATGGTAATTCAGAACAGCATAGAGCAGCTGCCGGTGAGCTCCATTTACTGGCAAAGAGAAATGCGGATAATAGTCTGTATTGCAGAGGCAGGAGCCATTCCTCTGCTTGTAGAACTACTATCATCTACTGATTCTCGGACCCAGGAGCACGCTGTTACGGCGCTTCTCAACCTTTCCATAAACGAGGCAAACAAGGGAAGTATTGTAAATGCAGGAGCTATACCTGATATCGTAGATGTGTTGAAAAATGGCAGCATGGAAGCAAGAGAGAATGCTGCTGCAACCCTTTTTAGTTTATCAGTGCTGGATGAAAACAAGGTGGCAATCGGAGCAGCAGGGGCTATCCCAGCTCTTATCAATTTGCTCTGCCAGGGCACTCCAAGGGGAAAGAAGGATGCAGCTACTGCAATTTTTAATCTCTCAATATATCAGGGAAACAAGGTGAGAGCATTAAAGGCGGGGAACGTGGCACCACTGATGGGATTGCTGAAGGATGCTGGTGGTGGAATGATGGATGAGGCATTAGCAATACTGGCTATACTTGCAAGCCATCAAGAAGGTAAAGCAGCGATTGGTCAGGCTGAGCCAATGCCAGTACTGGTAGAGGTTATAAGAACCGGTTCACCACGCAACCGGGAGAATGCTGCCGCTCTATTGTGGTCACTGTGTACAGGTGATGTACAATGTTTAAGAATAGCTAAGGAGCTTGGGGCAGAAGAGGTATTGAAGGAACTGTCGGAGAATGGCACCGATCTGGCCTAGAGAAAAGCCGCAAGCATTTTAGAACTTCTCCAACAAGTTGAAGCAGTCTGTGTTTCATGATATTCAGGTGAAACTTAGATTTCTTCCCGAAGCTCTTGTAAGTCTTCATAGTAGACCTCAGAATATTGTGCAGGAGTTTTGTTATCCTCTTGAAACATAGGTATTATATAGACAGATATGTTGGTGTATTAAATCAAGGTATTTGTGTACAAAAATATGGATGGGAGCGGTGTCTTTTTTTGTAACATCTTTCTTTTTTTTGGGTGAAATGGGATTTGTAGGGTCATGGATTGTTGGTAATGGGAAGAAGTTATATTTATTCCCCAATTTAAACATTAGAATTTTGCTTGACTTTTGAAGTGGGCAACTGATTTTAGGCGGCCTTTATGTCTTGGTACTGTAATGTTGATGTCGCAGCACACTGTTGCACCAAATACAATTGCAGAGAGTAAAATTCGATGACCTGATATGTGTTCGACACAAATTTAAAACAACACGAACTCAACAATAACACGGCTTGTACTAAAAAATGATGCAATTTGTCAACACAAATTATAAATGAGCCAGATTAATGGTATATGTGAAAGATCTATTCATTTTATAATATAAGAAAAAGAAATGAACATTTGGTATTTTTTTTTTAGAGCTAGTAATGGGTTAAATAGTTTTTTCTAATACCACAAATTTGGGTACAAACATGGACATGATCACAAGTTGACACTACAACTTGGAACTAAGGCGTTCATTTTCTATCTTCGAAAATTTTGTGTCTGTTTGATTTGTATCCTGAAAACAAGTTTTTTGTTTTTAAATACAAAACACCAAAATGTTTTTAATTTGCTATTTTTTTAAAAGCTTTTTGAAAATGTGGCTAAATTTTGAGAACATGATATACATCTCTTTTCACTTTTCAAACAAGATTTTCAAAAATTTTGAAACTGCGAATAACACTACTCTTTAATGAAGTCTAGATATTGAACTTCATCGAAAACATTTTCAACTTTTTTTGAGACTTCAGTTCAAAAGGCTCCTTATTTCTCTCGCAACTCATCTCCCCTCTCACCAACTCCTCTCTACTCTCTCGCAAGTCGCAGCTCTCCCTCTCTACCTGAGCTTCACTGTGAAGTTTTCCTCTTTGAATCCAACAAAGCTACCTCGTTGAAGATCTCCAAAGCTCTCTCACCGAAGGGACAAACAACTCAATATACATATATGTGCACAGATCCGTGTATACATATGTGTAAAGTGGGTTCAAGTTTTAATTTTGGCAAAGTGATATTGTTGGTGATTCTCAACATAAACTAGGAAAGAATGCACCTGTGTCTATTTATTCTATTATAATTACCCCACCTAAAATTAGTAGGCAAAAAAGATTGGTGTAGAATGAATTTATATCTCTATTATATTTTCGTTATTTTGTACATCATTATCTAACCAGATTTTATTATTTTATGCTCTTTAAAACTATTTTCAGAAACATATAACCAAATAAATTTTACAATATAAAAACATCAAACACACTTCCTTAAAATTCTTTCTAAAAACATTTTTGAATCCTATTTTTTGAAATACAATCCAATCACACCCTTTCTTTTCTCAACGTCCCTTTTTGCTGAGTGCTAACTATAATTCTCGAAATTCAACCAATCCCTGTATCTGGGTCTGTCTCATTTCCCACTAAAACCCCTTTAAGCTCTTCTTGGGTGATTTGTCTTACCCAATTACGTCTTGGTGAGTCGACGAATTCTGGACCAAACCATCAAAATTAACCCAATTATCTGATGTGGGTCTGTTTCGATTCCCTCAAAACCCAATTATCTGACTTTTTAACCTTTTATGTGAAGAGGGCCCACTAATATTATTTAATTTCATTTTTGTCCTATCTAATCAAAACTACATTATGTTCTGCTTTACAAAAAAAAAATAAAATAGTTGTCTGCACTAAAATAAAATTGATTACTTGTTGTTAAAAAAAAAAACTACTACTTATTATATTTTTAACAGGACTTATCAATTTGATGTAGTGATATGAAATAGAAAGATGAGAGAAGATAAAATATTTTAGTGGAAAAAATTTTAAAAATGAGTTTTAGGATAATAAGAGAATTTTTTAAAAGATTTGAGTAAATATTTGAGTTTGTCTATTGTCAAATCAAATTTAATATAAATTTGAGTTTATATTTAAGTTATAGCTAAAAATACTCTTAGAAAATCAAAGATGTGAATTGAAGATACTGCCAAAACAAGAAAACACAATCATCTTCGTGTTCCCATGAATCTTGTGTTGTCAGAATTTTAGGATATACACTTAAAAGAATAATATTATTTAAATTTAAAAGTTTGTTTTAATTCAATAATATAAAGATGTAATTTTATAAAAATTATTAGATTAATACCTAATTTTAATGTTTGATGGGACTTACAATTAATCTAAAGGTATAATAAATTAAATTAATAAATTATATCAATAAATTAGGCCAATAACATTTCAATATAAAACAAAAACAAAGTTAATTTTTAAGTCTACAACGACCTAACCCGTCAAAAAGATAGTGCTTGTGCTCGAAGACTACACTATAAGAAAGAGGCCATATAGTACAAGGTACGGCTTTGTCGCCATATCGAAGACGACAAGTCTAAACTCATTTGTCAAACAATTCTAAACTCATTAAAAAAACACCCATAAAAAAGAGCCCCCCTTCTCTCTCTCCCTATCTCTCTCTCAGAGCTCTGTGAAGTATTTCTCTCTTTCTCTCTCTCACACACATACACACACGAAGGAGCAATGAAGAGTGTTGCTCTCGCCTCTCAGATAAACAAAGTTCTGAGGGAAACAGTGACACACTTCATTCCTTTTAGTTCATTCTTTGATCTTCATTTATTCCAACTGAAGTATTGGTACTAATCCATTTTCTTTTCTGAAGGGTTTGCACTTTGCATGCAGTGATGGAACCTGAACTTCTGAGCTTCCACAAAACCCTCACGAATTCAGATGTGAAACGGAACTGTGAACTGTCGAACAAGGCACGTTATCTACCGGCCAGCAATGGAGTCCTGATCGTACGGGACGTGGACGGAATACCATATCGATTTAGAGCCCCAAAAAGGAGGAGCGGGAGGCGTTCTCTGACCCAGGACTGGAAGGCTTTTGCAGTTGCCAAAGAGCTTAAAGTCGGTCAGAAAATAAGAATGTATCGCCTAGGTCATGGGAATGAATATGTCATGGAAGGGGCTGTCCAACTGTTTGGAAAGGTTATTGGTTGGCGACGACTTTAGATATCAAAGTACCTGTATGTGGGAGTAGGGTGGTGTATTAATGTATGACCGGCCGGTGGAAGGTTAGGCTGCCAGCGGCGTCAGTCTGTTTGTGTGTGTGTGTGTCTGTTTTTTTTTTTTGGGAACTCAGATGATTGAATTATATGTATGATTATCAAAGTAAGTGTTTGGGTTTAGGGCGGTGCAATGTGATTATCAAAGAAGTCCGAAAGTAACAAATATAATTTGGTAAAACATAATTAAACTGCACCTACATACTTTCCATGTGCATGGTCAATGTAAGCCAAGAGAGAGATCACCAGATAGCCATTGAAATGGAAAAATAGGTTTAATATATGAGCAAATACTATTTGGATTTAATTTATTAACTTAATCATTCATAATAATTAGATTGATAGTAAATTTTAATAGTTGCTGGGATCTGTTTGATCTAATAATTATGATGGATTATATCAATAATCAAATTAATTCTAAATAACATTCATAATAATTAGATTGATAGCAAGGTGCGTGTCAAGCCTTTCTCTGAACTACCCGTCAATGAAAATATTAAACTCAGACTTAACAATTATTTTATGAGTAACGTTACACTGACAAAAAAATAAAAAAAAAATTATGGATCAAATGGTGTCACTTGATTCTTTGAAAAATTGAAACCCTACATTACTTCAGATTTTTTGAGATAATACCCACACCATGCATCACCCCACTCTCAGTTCTGATCAACTTTTGATTGTTATCTACCGTAGACAAATAAATGTTCACTGGGCATTAATTATGTCTCTTACTTAGTCTACCTTGTCATTATCTAAGCTCTAATTTAGTAAGAGCAATGTTATATAAACTTTATTTAGTGATTTTATTTGATGATTGTATCATTTTTTGTTATTAAATTGACAGTAAACTTTACTATTAGTTATGATCCACTATCGATTCAATGACTATGATCTATCGTGTCACCAAATAAAATCATTAAGTTATGTACAAATATGATAACACACTGCATTTAAAAGATAAAAATGCCTTATTTTTAAAGGAAAAATTATATTTTTTAACCGTAAATATTTTCAAATAATAAATTATAACAATTAATCCTCAAAGATTGCTGCTCATACAATTTGGTTGGCCCATTTTTATTATATAGGGGAAGGGAGGGGGACCTAAGGATCTGTTTGTTTACCGGGTTTGGTGAAGTTTGGAGGGAGATTAAGAAAACTACTTTAATAGACTCTGTAATTCCGTGTTTGATTAGCATTTTTAAACTTGGAATTCATAGTGCTAGCTGATGAGACTTTTCTGAAATACTCTATGATGAAGACACGTGTTCTCGGTATTACTAAAACACTGTTGCTACGATCAAGCATCATCGGCGCGCAAGGTCCTCTCCCCCGAGGTACTCGGCATATAGGATCATGCATTCAGTATGTTTTACATCGACACGTGGTCTCGGTCTGATATGGTACCTCGGTCGGTGTCCCTACCTCGGTGCTGAGATGATCCTTACCTCGGTGCCGAGGTGTACCGTCCAGGACGCCTCCTCTACTCCAGGATAAGCTATTGACGTACTGGTCATTAGCCTAGGCTAGTCTAGGCTATTCATCATGACCTCGTCTTACACAAGTAATGTCAAAATGTATTGGAATGCAGAGGTCACAGCCAATAGGGGATGGACGCGTGGCATATGATATCACATCGAAGACAGACAAACCGCATGCCGTTGCTGACACGCGACTTGGGAAAGCAAACAATTAATTGCATCATTCCCTTGATGAGACCGCATTCAATGCGGTAAGGTTTGGAAATGAAAGACAATAAATGCTCCTAATACAGAGCATTTATTGCATCCTCCCCGAGAGGAGCACATTGTACCATCGGCATCCCGATGACCCAGCATTGATTGCTCGGGACCCCGAGCAGTTAATTAGAGAAGACATTCCTCATCAGAATCAATGCGCACGCTACCTGTACCTAATGATCACCTATTGACCACACTGACAGCAATCATGAGCTTTTGAGGTATAAATACTCCTTGCAAAAGGCAAGATGGGTATGCAACAACAAACTCTTCACTACAATACACACTCAGTGTTTTCTCCTTCCTCTCCCTCACTAAAAGACTGACTTGACCGTCAGAGGGGATACGCCGGAAAACACTCCGACGCCCTTCTAACTTGTTCTTCTTTGTTCCAGGAACCTCTTTCAGCCTTACTGGATCGTTCCTCCGCTCTCCCAGGGTCTCCCGTTGCCGTTCCAGGTTACCACCGGACCTCGCAGGCTGTCCCAAGCAGCGTGGTTGGTCACTCAACTGGCTCACTCGAAGTTCACCAAGGGAGAGATCTGTTCTCGTTTTTTATATTGTGCAGGATCTTGCACGCACAATCTGGCCCCGTCTGTGGGAAACGACTAATTTTCCTAGTCTTTTCTCTCTAAAGAACAGTGACCATGGTGAACACTCGACAGAAAGGGAAAGGACCCCACCAAAGGAGTCTCGAGTTACAAGCTCCCTGTCATCACGGAGGGAGAGATCACACCAATACGAATAAAAGTGCCTCTACTCGGTCAAGAGGGGTTACCCCTCAAACCAGTATGGGAATCAAGTCAGGGGGATCAGCCCCCTTGGCTCGTCAGCTGGCGGAGGTGATTGAAGAAAAATTTGGCGATAGATTACGTCAGCTGGAGAAGGACAATGTAAACGTCCTTAGCCGGCTCGACGAGTTTGCCGCCTCAGGCGGAGGGTCGAGGGATTCATTCCTTTCCCGTGGACTTCCCGCCCGGGAGGCGGAAACGAAGGATCTAAGAAACCACCTAGACCACAAAGCAGAAAGCTCTAGGGTCCCAAAGCGACCCAGAGCCGGCGAACATCATCATGACAACCATTCCAAGAAAGCAAGGCCATTGGCCCTGGACGAACTCCGGCGAGGTTTGTCTAGACAGAGGAAGGGAGATGAATCCGAGGAGGACTCAACCCAATCCACACGACGCCCAGGAAATGAGGGGTTACCAATGAACTCAAGGACTTCAGAAGGCATCCCGTCAAGGAAGAAGTTGATCTCAGAACCCGATTGGATTCCAAGAGGAAGGGTAAAGCTGTCCAGGATGAGACCGAGGACGAGGCCATACAAACACCATTTACGAGGGAGATCAGTGAGATGGAGGTCTCAAGAAAGTTTGTTGTGCCGCAATTCAAAACTTATGACGGGCGGTCCGACCCCGAAGCCCATATCAACCAATACAAGCAGATGATGTCCCTCTATCATTCGGACCAACGGTTTCTCTGCCGAGTGTTCCCTATGAGCTTGGGGGATTCTGCGATGAAATGGTTCGAGACGCATCCCCCAAACAGTATTGGGTCCTGGAAGGAATTGACTAGGCAGTTCCTGGCTCGATTCATTACGGGGAGTAAGCGCCCCAAAGACATTGGATCATTGTTGACCCTCAGACGGAGGGAATCCGAGACTCTTCGCCAGTACGCCATCCGATACTGGGAAGAGGTCAATGAGGTAGAAGGCTGCTCGGAGGTCATGGCAGCGGCATCTTTCCGGCTCGGCTTGGCGAGGGACACGGACCTGTACCGATCCCTGACCAAGAAGACTCCCTCGGATATGGGGGAACTGATGGCCCGGATCAACAAGTACTCGAGGGTTGAGGACGAGATGGGAAGCAACAAAGGCCGAGCCCTCCAATCTAAGAGAAAGGAGAAGGAGCGCGAAGATATTCCCCGAAAGGGATTGCTACCCCATCCAGGGGGTTCGTCCAGAGGAGTTCACACTGTTTTCAAGGAACCCATCTTCAAGTTGCTCCATAAAATCAAGCACGAGCCGTTCTTCAAATGGCCGCCCAGGATGCAGGGCGACCCCTCCACCCGTGATCAAAAGGTTAAGTGTTCCTATCACCGGGATTTCGGGCATCGCACCGAAAGCTGTAGGGTGTTCAAATCGTTCTTGGAAAGCTTGGTCCGAGACGGACATTTGAAAGAGTACATAGAGCCCAGGCCAGAAGAGAGACGAGCCCTTGCCCCGACCGAGGAACCGGACAACATCATAGACGTCATTCATATATGTCCCCTGGAGCGCCCCACGTCCAAGGAGCTCGAGTCCGACCTCAAGAGGGTAGCTTTTACAAGGAAGGTAGCCGAGGGTGATGTGGGGCCATCAAGTAAAAGGGCCAGGACGGGTGAGCTTGGCATTACATTCTCCGACGCGGATTTGACAGGCGTGGTGACACCTCATAACGACGCCCTTGTCTTGACCCTGAGGATAGGGAAATTCGATGTCAAGAGGATTTTGATAGACTCAGGAAGCTCCTCGGAGGTGATGTACTTCGAAACTTTGAAACGGATGGGTCTTGGCCCCAAAGACCTCACCAAAGTCAGGACACCCCTCATCGGGTTCAACGGCTCATTCGCCTTGCCCGTGGGGAAAATCACATTGCCAGTTGCCACTGGTCCCTTTATCATCGACACCGAGTTTGTTGTGATCGATACGGACTCTCCCTACAACGTGATTATGGGGCGAACATGGCTGCATGCGTTGGGAGCGGTGCACTCCACTTTCCACCAGAAGTTAAAATTCGCCACGCCAGAGGGTATCATGGAGATCCGGGGGGACCAAGCGTCCGCGAAGAACTGTTTTTATTCAGCCGTTCGAGCCGGGGCGTCCAGCCAGGAGAAGGGGCGAGCACCGGAAGAGATTATGGAAAAATAGCAATTACAGTCCGGGCGTCCAGGAATGGATGACCCCCGGATAGACCCAACTGAACGGTCGGTTGAAGACCTCCGGAAGGTGCCCTTGGTAGAGGGAGAAGAAGAGAGGTATTTCTTAGTGGGGACCTCGATGCCGACAGCCGAACAGGAGGAGATGATCGAGTTCCTAAGGGGAAATACAGACGTGTTCGCCTGGAACGAAATGGAAATGACAGGGGTAGACCCCGAGATAATCACTCACAGGCTGCATGTTGACCCGTCGCACAAGCCAGTA